AGACAAGTTGCTGTCCTTTTGTTCTTCAGTCTAGTTGTGGAGGACATCGCTTCACTGGCCCATGTTGGTATTATCATTGCGCTCTTCCCGGATGAGGCAAATCAGTTGCCGGCCTCTGGACAGCCGCTCACAGTGGGCTGCAGCAGGGGCTGCAGCCTGCACCATCGCCGGCGACTCATGGCAGCCCAGCTCTAGGTCGAGCTGCTGCTCACCATCTTAACTGTAGAGTGCAGTGTCACTGGCCCTCATGTGGGATCTGAACCGGGGCCCTGCTGCTCAGAGCTGGCATCCCAAGCCAGCCCTTAACCAACACGCCACTCGGCTGGCCCTGTCATTCTTTTTCTTAATTCACCCTAATTTATAGAGAAAAGTATAAAGGAATCTTAGTATAAAAAGCTATAAAGTGGGCCGGTCGAGTGGCTCAGTTGGTTAAGAGCTCGCTCAAGAGTTTGAGCTCTGAGCAACAGTGGTTCGATTCCCAGCCTGAGCTGAGCAGCCGCTGAGCTGTCAACAGGTGGCAGGATGGCTCCCCTTAAAAAAAAAGGCTATAAAGTGACTATACTGTACCTTGTAGGTCTGTGTGGGGAATATTAATAGAGGCTTCGTTTGTGGTGTTGCATATGCTTTTGACACCTTTTGTCACTTGGCTTGAGACTACCCTGCCCCTCAGTGCTGGTATTCGATGTGTCACCTTTAGAACCTTGCCACTGAACAGGTTTTGAGGTAGCAGGGTGCCACCTCATTGACAGAGTTAGGGATGGATTACATAGTTCATGAATTATTCTGGACTAAGATGAATCTCTGTAGGGAAGACCCAGAATCTAGAATTTTCTGAGATTGCTCACTCCTGGAATTCCTTGGACCCATATGTGTCGTCTTCAAGTATAGCCCATTTTTGCAGCCAAAAAATGACGTCTGCCAATTTTTTAGAAACACTAAGGCCTGTAGGACTAATCTAATCCTTTCTTACTGTAAACTGTTTTTGGCACCAGAGTAATCAGATTTTGT